AGATAAAAGAGATAAATTAAAAAAATAATTTAATCTCATAATTTGAATCTATTAAAATTAATAATTAAAAATTTTTACACTAATATAAATTGATCCCTAAATATATATATTTAGTATATTAAATTTACTATATTCATGTGCACTAGGTCTCTTTAGGCCACTCTCTTTGATCCATTTTTATATACATTCAAGGTTTCCCTGTCTACTTAGAATAATAAAAGAAGGAAAAAAAAAAAAAAAAAAGGCCTTAGTTGGCTCTTCCTAGTGGAATCTTTTTATCTCCATTCCTTATTCCCTGGGTTACATTTTGTATGTCCATGCTTTGAAATTTTTGAAATTTAAAGTTCATAAATTTTATTTTTAATTTTTTAATTTTATTAAAAATAATGACCAAAATTGAGTTCATTTTAACTAAAATGTTAATAAAAAATAAATAAAATGAGATGGAGAGAATAATACTATTGTATTCCCAAATACTAATTTTTATATTTTTTTTAGAGTACTTTAACTATATTTGTTTATAAGATTATATTTGATGCACTCTCAATTAGTTCGATATTATTTTATTAATAAATAAATATAAAAAAATAATATATATATTTTAAATTTATTTATTAATAAAATGATATCAATTAATTTATCTTATTAATAAAGTGATATAAATTTAAATAACATTTGCAACGAGATGTAACCATTCTTTAGTCATAGTGTCATCTTCTGCCACCATTATTTATTGTAATAGAAGTGCGAATTGTCATTCACACAAAGTCTAATAAATTATGTTCACAAGTAGCGATAGAATAAAATATTACGACCATAACAAGACACTAAAATCCTTATTTGTACTTTTCTTTTCAAATCAAACATCAAACTAGAAAACCCCAAAAAAAATTAGAGAAAGAAAGAGCTCTCTTAGAGCTACCATGGCTGGTGGCCTGAAGTCGAGTGCCATGCCATCTTCTCCAGACTTGATAGACAGAAATGTAGACACCATATTTCGGTAGATTGAACTATTTTCTTCTGTGGGCCTGTGGCTTAGACTGGGTACCCAGTATTTTTCAAATATGTAAAGTCTGTTAGGCCCAACAGAACACCGGTTAGAAATATGGATATCATGTGGAAACTCGCTTAAGCCAATATGAACCTCTGAGTGTCACCAAAATTGTGCCTTTGGACTGCGAAGCCCAATCAAAATGCATGTCACCCCCATTTCTCGTAGATTCCAATTTTGGGGGTGAACATAAAATTTAGAAGCCTTGGTCCTCCTCTCCTTTTGGATCCCAGTTCAAATGAAAAAAAGATGATAAAAAATAAAAATAAAAGGTATACAGTTCCCAAGTTTACATCATAAATGAAAATTTATATTATTATTTATCATTTTTTTTTTGTACAAATGAGACCGTTGTGATATGGAGATATAAAAAGAAATTGAAAATACTGGAATTTAAATTTCAAATTTGTTAGATGTTTAGTTTTAAAATTTGAATAATGATTGTACGAATCAATTTATTTAAATTTTGAGTTTTATTATTATCATAATTATTATTAATTCTTTATATACATTAAAAAATATAAAGGAGAATATAAACTATTTGAATTTCGAACCTCAACTTTTTTCAAATAAATTAAGTGATTTTTAAAGCTGAGATTGATTTTTAAATATTGTCTATAATCTAAGAGATTTGAATTAAAGTTAAGCTAGAAAGATTACTTGATATATATATATATTATATATATATATATAAATATAAAATCCCTAAACATTAATATATAAGTAGGATTCCAGATGTTTAACAAGATATAATAACAAAAACCTATTTTGGCTGATCTTAAAATTTTCTAATAGAAGCAATTCAATAGGTAATCAACTAATCTATAATGGTTTTGAAAATATTATCTATCCAATTTGGGTAGGACAACGGAGTTGCACAAGACTATTCTCTTTAGATGAGTGCAAATATAGGCCATCTAGCGTTGTAATGAAAGTTTTGGCAGCAGTCTGAGCTATTTGGATTTGTCTTAAATCTCATAATTTCACATCGAAAGTTATAAGAGTTTTGAGTTTGTCTTGTATCTCACATCGGGAGTTTAGTAAAAGTATAAGGGGTTTCAGCTTTATAAATAAGATGTTTTAGTTTTGGTTTAGTAATCCCAAATAGTTAAACACCAAGAGAATAGTTAAGTGAGTAGGCTATTAAAATGGTGTAATTAGGCTTTGGATTAAGTATTGAGTAAGGAATTTTTTTATCACTTTTCTCATTCTAAAAATCTCACAGTTATAAAAATTTATTTGATAGTACATTAAGTTTGGAATAGGTCATTTTAAGTTTGGCCGAAATAAATATATTTGTGTGTTTTTATTATTGATTTGAACTTGTTATTTTGTGTGTGGGTACTGCATGTGCGTATTGATTTTTCAACAAGTGATATCAGAGGAAGATTCGAGGTTTGAGGTTCGTAAGAAAAAAATGTGAGCCCAAGAGATCGTGAAGCAAGTATTTCAAGATATCTGAAAAAAAGTATGTCTAGTATGCCTATGCCTAAGTTTGAGATTCCGTTATTTGATGAAAAAAATAATTTTATGTTATAGTAAAGTACGATTCAAGATCTATTAGTACAACAAATGTTGGATCAAACATTAGAGAGCAGTAAGCCTGAGGGAATGTTTGACAGTAATTGGAATAGAATTATGAAGAAAGCTATTAGTACTATTAGATTGATGCTAGCCTCATAAGTAAAGTATAGTGTGTTGACTAAAAATACTTCGAAGAGTTTGTGAGATAAGCTTGAGGGTATTTACGCATCAAAGTCATTAATTGATAAATTATGTTTAAAGATAGATCTGTATTATCTGAAGATAATAGAAGATACGAGTCTTCATAATCACCTGGATGAGTTTAACAAATTAGTTTCTCAATTGCTGGTAATTTTTATTGATGAGTTAAAAGATGAAAAGAATGCTTTAATTTTACTGTCATATTTGCTTAAGTCTTATAGGCCTTTAGTTTAGACTTTTTGGTGGGTAGGTTTACTTTGAAGTTTGATGATGTGACTGTCCTGTTATGTGAGAACGTAAGGTTTATGAGAGAATATAACTCATCACCTGAGGGTAGTACACTAGCTATAGAGGGTTTTAATAAAAAAAAACTCAAAAGAGAATTGATAGATTAAGAGAGAGATCTAAGTCAAGAGATAGAGATTACAGTAATATAGAAAGTTATTGTTATGGTAAAAAAAGATATCTAAATGCATTGCAAGAAATTAAGAAGTGATATGGCTACTTTCAAAAGGATGAATGATGAAAAAAATCAGATGAAAAAAAAGTGATACTGCTCTTGTCGTATTTGATGATGATAATATCGTTTTGACAACTTGTGTGGATGAAACTCAAATTTTGAAAGGTAATAAAGATTGGATTTTAGATTTTGCTGCTACAGTTCATGCTTATAATAATAGGAGTTACTTTATGGAGTTGGATGAGAATGAAAAATATGAAGATATTGTGGTTGTTAATAATAAGAAAAAGCATTATGAGTGTTTGCCTTAGATCTTACAATGGTATTGTTAGGATACTTTGTCATGTAAGGTATGTATCGAGTTGTAACTACAATTTGATTGCATTTGGTGAGTTAGCTTTTCGAGGGAACACATATTATGGTGGTAATGATTGGTTGAAAGTATACAAAAATGGTAATGTGATTCTACAATGGAATAGGATAAAAAATCACTTGTACATGCTTGATAGAGGTTCAGTTGCTGGGATATTTATGATGAAAAAGAAGAAGAAATATAAATATGTTAGCTTGACAAATACTGTTGAAGTGTTTGAAGAAGCAAGTAAATAGATGATTTATTGAGATTTACCTTAAATCTCATAATCCTATATCGAAAGTTATAAGAGTTTTAAGTTTGTCTTTTATCTTACATCAAGAGTTTAGTAAAGGTATAAAGGGTTTCAACCTTATGAACAAGATATTTTGATTTTTGTTTAGTAATCCTAGATAGTTAGACACTGAGAATAACCAAATGAGTAGGTTATTAAAATGACATAATTGAGCTTTGGATTAGGTTTTAAGTAAAAAATTTTTGATAACTTTTTTTATTCCAAAAATCTTTCAGTTGTAAAGATTTATTTTATAATAGATTTGATTTGAAATAAACTATTTTGAGTTAGTTTAAAATAAATATATTTATGTATTTTTATTTTTAATTTAAATTTATTATTTGATGTGCGAGTACTGTGTGTATACGTTGATTTCCCAACATAGGTTACGTCACTTGGCATGGCTTACAGCCTATAGGAAAAGATGGCCTAACATTTTAGCTTCTAGACCAAGTACATAACTTAATTCTCTTTTTCTTTTTTTTTTAAGTACTATATTCTTTGGTGGTTAGAATCCACATGAATTTCTTTGGATCAACCATTGAAATCTTATCTGCAGCAGTAGGCAATAGACCCACAAAAAAGGAAGAGCGAAATCTTAAACATATTGTACAATGTGTTGAATTATTAACTCATCAGAACTAACTGGTATAGCTCTACTTCGAGTAGAATGCTAAGCCTTTCAAGTGCCCTTTACCACTTCCATACATTTAGGTTTGTAAAGTCAACTAAAGTAGGAACTATATGAACTTGTCCAGTCCAGTCCAATGTTCCCCAGTCGAGTCCAATGTTCCGACAGTAAAAAAAAAAAAAAGAAATTGGTTCTATTCCTATATTCGAAAATCATCTTGCAAGCAAGAAAACACGCACATGTATATACATTTATATCTTTGTATTAAATAATAAATAAAAAAATAAGATAGAAAATATGTATGCACAAATGTATAAGTACCTGAACTCATATTACCTAAGTAAAAAAAACATCTAGAGCTGGTAATTGTAAATATTTTAACTGTAAAAAATATTAAATAATTTTTAGAGATGACTGAAGTATATTGTATTTTCTTTAAAGTAATAACAAACAAAATTTTCAATACAATTATATCAGGATTGGTTCCAAAAACACTTGCAAGTAATTTATTACAAAATATTAAAAATGTACTAAATTTAAGAAATTTTATAATTTTTTTTTGACAATTTTAAGAATGCAAAATTGGCAAAGATAAAGCTCTTAACGAGCTTTGCTGAAACCCCAAACAACCCAACTTCGTTATTGGACCGCATGTCAAGGGGGACCAATCTTTTTGTCCATAGCGCAAACGCCCAACTATTCTTGGTATCTCCAAACCCTAAATCCACAATTCCTAGTGCAAGTCAACATGCCTGCGTTCTAAAATCGCCAATCCCACTTTCCTTTGACTATGTCTCCTCTGCATTCCCCTCTTGTAAAATCCGTGTCGTCGCGCCTAGTTTGCCCAAGTTCCGAAGCTCGCGAAACGACGAGGAAGCTGCGCGATGAGAAAGGAAGAATCTCGACGGGCTTGCATATCAAATTTCGGCTATCTGCTCTTTCTGTTCCAATTTCCGTCTTTTTTTTATGAATTAAATAAATAACTTATCATTGTTGACTTTTTAAGAACGCCGTACACGATCTTTTTCACGCGGACTTGATTCCCTTCTTCCTTTTCGAGAATAAAATTTCTACTGCGGACTTGATCTTCATAGTTGATTCACACTAGATAATAAAATCCCCTTTCTCACTTGTCTTTTTGGTGCCTAATTGTGTACGAAGAAGTCATATTCCAGGATTTATCCACTGTCATTTGTGGAAAAGTCTTCAACGAAAATCCTAGCTTATCATCTGTCACATCTACTTCGCATGAGATTTCAAGAATCAACCATTTCTTTACCTTTTTTTTCCGGTCAAGTCGATCCGACGACCCTTTGTAGTTGTCAACTATCTGGAAAAGAAAGAAGAAAAAGAATGATTAAAATTCGAAGAATGAGCGAGTCGAAACCTGGGTTTAGGAAAACACGTGTGAGATTCAAACCTTCAATGCTCGCACCCTCTAGAAGATCCTTAAGAGAAAAAAAATTAAAGCCCTGGAAACAACATATAAATACTAGCCTTTTCCCCCAACTAAACCCTCGAATCAAAATAAGCTGAAGGAGAGAACAAAAGAAAATACTTCTTCGAGTTATTGCAAAGGAGTCTACTTTACAAGGTACTTTCATTTTCTTTTTGTCTTAATTATAATGCGTTTCGAAAAAAAGTACTAAAATTTGTAAAAAATTTGTTCGATTAATTCACATTATATGATTTTTGAAACAAGAGTTTATGATTTCGTGATTTTCATTCCATTGTTGGCTAATCGATTTTAAATTGATTGGAGTTCAAATGAGTCCCTCAAAATCAAATTTTATTCACTACAAAAGTCCTAATCTTCTCCTTTTCATCTTTCTTTACAGTTGTTCGATTTGATAAATCCTGCGAGAAATTCTGGTAAGCCCTTCGAATACTTTTTATTGATGTGTTTATTTTAATAGATTTTCTGTTTATTTTCTTTACTTCTTTTATATAAACCTATATGTGAGTGTTTTGACGGTGGTTGTTTATTATTATTATTTTTTAACTATACAATTTGGGGGTATTTATTTGTTTATAATGAATATTTATGTTGTTGCTTTTATTGATTTTATGTTTGCTGTTTGGGGTATCTCCTTCTATGGTTTTCCAATCCATCGTCATGTTATAGCTGCTAGAAGCCTTTTTATAGCTGCAGTAATGTCAGATTAAGGTGGGGGTTTATGTTTAGGATCAGAATTGAATGATATGTTTCCTTTTACGCTTGGCCTATCAAGAGATTGTTTCTCAAACAATGCTCCCTATAATTTTCAGTCCTTAAGAAATCAGTTATTGGCCAAAAAAACACAAATCAGGTAAATCATCAGGAATGTGAAATTCAATACTGATTTGAGCATGAGCTACTCTTTGTGGCAAATCTGTATACATATATATATATATATATATATATATATATGAAAAAAAGGAACCCCTTTAGGCTATAGAAATGAGTCAACAAGACCTAGATCATAACTGCAATTAAAGGCTCTAGAATGTCACCAACTCCAGTAGACTTTTATTATGCCCCATTGTCAATCTCTAAATAAGGATTCGAAGGTTTCTGGGTAAAATACCTAGGTCACTTCCAGCAATTATTTCGTTTATTCATTCTTGTTGTCAAACATGAAGCATCCCCCCTTTTGTTTTTTCAATAAAAGCATGTAAAGTTTGATCTAAAGGCTCATTCTGAGTTTCCCAAAGCAAACAAGAGGCATTAATTCACCAAATTGCCCTGTTTAATCTGTTGGTTCTTGGTCCTCAGCCTGTTAAGTTTAGTTCAGTTTGTGCCAACCACTTTAGGAGACTTCTGCCTACTTATTTGCCGGGTCGGAACTGAGCTAAAGCTGCCAAAGGAAATGCAATGTCATAATACTCATTTAAATTCATCACGTCATCAAATAAACATCGAATCTGAATGAAATGAAATGATGAGTTTCTTTTTCATTTGTTTCTTGTAGTTTTGCATCTGTTTCTGTCATTTCAAGTCTCTTATATTTTTCTTGCTCTCTGTCTCTGACCAACTTAAGACATGAAAATGTTATTTCAGGAGGAATGGTTGCTATGTTCAAACAAATGATTGTTCCCTATATTATTGCTTCTCTCTGCTTTCTTGCTTTTATGTTGCCCACTGTGTTCTGTGGAAGTGATTCACAAGCAACGCCAATTAACTACAAGCCTATTGGTAACTATATCCCACCATGCGGTGAGAATAGCCAAGAGAATTGTGTGACTCATAGCCCACGAGCCAATGAACACCAAAAACCATGTAACTCTTGGGACCACTGCCGTGGTCGGCAGAACCAAGCAGGAGAAAGCGAGAGTAAAGCTCGAGTTTCAGCTGCCACAAAACAGTTTGGAGTTGAAGATCATACTCTCCTTCAACTTGGTTTTGCAATGGGTGTTGGCTGGGTGCTTTTGGTATGAAATTCTTGCCTAAAATCAACAAATTGCAAGATTACTAAACTATGTTATTTATTTCAAACTGTAGCGTTTCATGGTCATGTATTAAGTTTCTTTCACAGATGTTTGATGATGAAAATTTGTTTGTATAGGCAGGTTATGTTATTCTAGCGGTTGGGTTGTTTATTGAACCAATTAGAGGATCGAGCACATTTGTGTTTTGAGTCTTCAAAGTTCAGTATTAATCTCTGTATATCATTGGCCAAAAACAAAAAAAAATCTGTGTGTATATCTGCTTCGGCATTGCCCCTTCGTTTGGTCATCAACTGCTTGTCCCTTATGTTTTGTAGGAGGTATAGTTTTTTATGTTTGATAGGAGGGAAAGGGGAGGAAGAAAGGGGTTTACGTTATGTTTGTATGAAGAAACAGGAAAGAAAGGGCTTACATTATGTTTAGTAAGAGGGGAAAAGTTGCATATTTTTTTCATACCTGATCTTTTTAAGTTGAGAAGAAAACATTCTTTTTACTTAATTTTTTATTTTGCAATTTTATTCTATATTTTTTCCTTTTATTTTTATTTTTCATATTGAACGTAAAAAAATTTCTCATTTTTTTTTTTCATTTTTTTGTCAATCATGATTAAATACGTACAATTCTGGTCTTCTAATTGAATTACATCTCTTCGAGTTTAAAATGTTTCAAAGTTGTTTTCTTTATGATGAATCTTGTTTTTATTTTTTAAATTTTAAACACAAGGAATTTTTATTTTTCATATTTGGATTATTTTTTATGAATTTTTTGATAAAACAATGGCATTAAAAAAATACAATTAAAGGTTCATGAAAGATTTTAAAATTTTCGTATGTGGAAGAATTTAAAATCTTAACCATAAAGTTAAACGAATTAGAAATTAGATGATAAATTATTAGGTCATTTTATATTTCTACAAGTCGTTAAAGTAACGTGACAATGTACATGTGATGCGGCTGATCGACAACCAGCGAAAGAATCATAATTAAATTATTTTTCAACTATTTTCTTCTGTGGACCTGTGGCTTAGACTGGGTACACAGTATTTTTCAAATATGTAAAGTCTGTTAGGCCCAACACAATCCCAGTTACAGAAATATGGAAAACATATGGAAACTAGCTTAAGCCAATATTATCCTCTTGTGTCGAAGCCCAAGTGTCACCAGAATTGTGCCCTTGGACTGCAAAGCCCAATCAAAACGCATGTCACCCCCATTTCTCCCAATTTTGGGGGGTGAACATAAAATTTAGAAGTCTTGGTCCTCCACTCCTTTTGGAGCCCAGTTCAAATGAAAAAAGGATAAATAAATAAATAAAAATGAAAAGGAATACAGTTCCCAAGTTTACATCATAAATGAAAAATTACATTATCATTTATCATTTTTTTGTACAAATAAAATCATTGTGATACGGAGATATAAAAAAAAATTGTAAGTATTGAAGTTTGAATTTCAAATTTATTAGATTTCACATCTTAAAATTAAATAATAGTATAAATTAACTTATTTAAATTTTGAGTTTTATTATTATCATAATTATTATTAATTCCTTATTTTAATCTTGGACCTCAACTTTTTTTAAATAAATTAAATGATTTTTAAAGCTGGGATTTATTTTTAATGATTGTCTAATCTAGAGGGTTTGAAATAAAGTTAAGTATGGGACATGAGTCAGGCTAAGCTGAATTCGAGTCGACTTTGGTATGATATTTTAATATTTTAAGTAAATTTAGGTTTGGTCCAATTCAATTTTTTGGATTTCATCTTTTGTCTGAATCCATTCCTATATGTAACAATAAAGTTCAATAAAGTTTTAGTCCGTCCAAAATATTAGTATCTAAAATTGAAGAAAAAGATTTTTTTATTTTTTATAAATTATTAATTTAAGTAATTTAATTAATTTTAATTGAATTTATAAGTAATTTGTGCTTGGTTTCAATTTAATTTTATTGAATGAAATTTAAAATTAGATAATTATTTTGTATAAAGAAAAAATGAGTTTTATCATAGTACATGTAATAAAGCAAAGCAACCTTATTCATTATAAAAATTGAAGTAAATGAGCTTTATTCTAGTATGATAAAAAATATTTTTTAATTTTTGAGTTGAGCTAGACCAAACCTAGGCCTTAAATGTTGAAACCTAAATTCGATCCTACTTTTTTTGTCAAGTTATATTTATTTGTCCAAATCCATTTAATGGGTTTAATATTAATGTTCAAAACTTTTTAAAATTTCGGACGAACTTTTGAATCAAGAGGAAATTACATGGCTCATGAGGAGGTATACTTAGGGAAGATTACTTGATATAATATATATATATATATATATAATATCCCTAGACGTTAATATATAGTTGGGACACCATGATTCCACTTGAATAAACTGAAAGATCTTTTGGGACAATGGCTTGAAACCTAGTTTTCAGTACAAAAGGAGAATCAAAGTTGGTTAAAAAGGAATATGTATATGCTGATGGCATAAGACCACAAGGCATTGTCTCTCGTGTATGATGATCATTTTAAAACCTAAATACAAAAATCCATCGGTCAACACTATTTCACATAAAATACCAAAACCCTTTAAATTAAAGCAAATTAGACAGTGTGTCTTTATCGATAACATTAATTAAACCAAGTGAGGGTCAAATGAAGGTGGTATATTATTGCCTTTAGGCTTTAACCTTCAAATTACTATCTTAACCATTTGTTCACCACTATTTCTTAGTGCACGTGAGGACCAAAACTCAATCCACAATTTTATTTATTTTCCATTCTATGCTTTAATTTTTAGGTCTACGATTGTTTTATAATTCTAACGGTGTATATATTAGTCTGTACTTTTCTATGATTAGCAAGGATGACCACATAGGCATGCCTCATTCTTTTATAAAAACTCAACCATATATAAAAACTCTAAAGGACGGCATCTCCCTAGCTTGTGGAGTGTAGTTCCATAAGCAATTTAAGCTGCATGTGAACTGATCAGTATAATGGAGCAATTATAAATCCGAATTAGGCCAAGCAGTACTTGTCGGATAACCCTTTATACATGGTCATGGAGGCAGGTTGAAGACTTTCACAACTTAGCTTGCAAAATTATCACGGAAATTAATAATCATGCATGGTTCATGACTTCATGCGACTGCATCACCAACTTTTTTTTCCTTCCTGGCTTTCTCAGCCGTACAATGAGTTGAAGGGTCATTTTATTTTTATAATTAACTTTTCTTTTTGAAATAAATTACTTTGATTGATGCTTAGATTAATTTTACCGGGTTGTAATTTCCTCATCTTAGTTATGATTGGAGAGTGGTGCTTAATTGATTTGGTTGAAAATATAAATGCTTATAGCTTTTTTGTCAAAGTCATCCTTAACTAGGTTGCCTGTTACACCCGATCATTTCATTCAATCAGCAAAAATTGGAGGAATCTTGTATTTTAACCGTTTATTTGCAAAGATTCCTCCAACTTTGAGCAAAGAAATCAGTAATAAATGTTATTTTTATTTTTATTCTTTTTATGGGTGCAATTTGCTTAAAGAAAATGTGTGTTAAGATTACTTAATTGCGATTGACAACGTTGTTATTCTAGTTTGGATACCAATGGGTAATTAACCGTAACTTTTAATATAAGATAGGTAAAAGTGAGGGTGGAATAGAATTTGATTATAAGTAGATCACTTCCTTCATTCATTTATTCTCTAAAGGATATGAATATGACAAGAGAATTTGGAGGAATCTTGTATTTTAACCGTTTATTTGCAAAGATTCCTCCAACTTTGAGCAAAGAAATCAGTGATAAATGTTATCGTCCTTAACCCCTTTCGGCCAAGGCCAAGGCCAGGGCCAGGGCCTAAACGTGTCAGATGTCCCAAATTAGGCCGAAAGGGGTTAAGGACGATGACATTTATTACTGATTTGTTTGCTCAAAGTTGGAGTAATCTTTGCAAATAAACGGTTAGAATACAAGATTCCATGGGAATCTTCTCTTTGCGATTGCTTCCTTCCATGTATTAAAGATAAATCTACTTTTCGAAACCAGTTCCTGTGTTACGCATGTGCTCGAATTAACCATCGTTGGGGCCTCCTAGCTCCTGGTTTAAGTCGCTTACAGGTAAAAGTTAATATAGGCTTTGGACTGGACATATTGGTTAACAAGAAAAAACAGAGCCCTCACCAATTTGCTGACTGTAATCTGTTATATCAACACAAATGAAAAATTTACTGATGTCCTATATTAATTAAGAGTGTAACCTTTTAGTGTAGTGTAAAATTTATTAGTAGCTAGTTCAAGTTTTTGTATGGTATCTGCAATCTATCATATGTTGTCTAAACTTTTAGTGTAAATTCATTTTGTTAAGCGAGGATTGGAAAAGTTTTTAAACCAATTTGAGTACAAATAGTTAATTTACTTTTCGTAATAATATTTTGTATTAAATACAGTAATTCACAAGACAATTTACTTTAATATATCGAGAGCAAATATTATACTTAGCATGATATTTTTAAAAAATGCTCTAAAAGACACTAATTAACATCGAATCACCTTGGTTAAAACCAATGAAACCCAACTCAGGAAATACCAATATTAATTAATACCCGTATTCTTGAAGTTAATAAAGTTCATTTACTTTAACCAACTAATTATGTCTCAATTAATGAATTTGTGACTTACCAAAAAAAAAGTCCTATAAAGAAATTGGAACAATGAGATTTGAATATCAAGTACTAAGGTTTGCTTTATAACTTTTTTTTTTTTTTGCCCGGAGGGGTGGTGGTGGTTAGCGGTTAGGCATACTTTGCAACTTTTAGTGGAGGAAGAGAGAAATTTCAGTTGAATGAAGTACGATATATAAGCTCTGCAAGTAATTAAGATTAAAATGGTGGCTGCACGCACCACATGGACGCTGTCTTTTTTTTTTTTCAAATATCAGAAACAATTTATTAAGAAGATGGAAAGAAGGCATTGCAAAGAGTAATGGAATGTACATGACATAGGGGACATGCATATGGATAAAATAACTAGTTAGATTGCGGGACAATTATTTTTTTACAGTTACAGCCCAATCTGTCTTTAGACCTAGGAATCATGCAAGTCCTACGTGAATATTGTAAATCCATAACAGTAACAGATCCTTTGATCTGATACAATTATTACAATTTGAAATAGACCTAAATCAATGTACCTCTGGAGGCATTTATTACATGTCTAGGCATTTGGCTCTGAATTTTTGCCTGGAAAAGCGTGACCAGCTCTAGGGCTGGGTCCTGGGTTGGTAGGTCGGAAATCTTCTTTAGCTTCTGCAATAGAATGCTTATCATTGCTTGGGCTAATGCTTCATGATTTTTGTTCAGTATTTTCATCATCTTCTGCTAAAGAATTTCCAGCACCAGGGCTGTGTCCTGGGCTGGTAGGTCGGGAATCTTCCTTAGCTCCTGCAGTAGAATGCTTATTATTGCTTGGGCTAATGCTTCCAGATTTTTGTTCAGTATCTTCATGATCTTCTGCAAAAGAATGTCCAACACCACCAGGGCTGCTCCCTGCTTTAGCGGGTAGGAAATCTTCGTTGTACCCTGCAAGTGAATCGCCAAAATCTGAGCTTTTAGTTGGTGTAGGGGGTGACAATACTTCTTTCTTTCCTGATGCTGAAGCTGAATGGTAGGCATCTGCATTAGGAATGTAACTTGGGGCTGCAGGTTGATGATCTTCTTTGTGCACCGCAGAGTTGTCAACCTGGTTGCTCTGCTTTGAACCAAGTTTGGTCATCGGTTTTATTTTTCTTCCCTCAACTGAGAAAACTAAATGGCTGCAGGCAATCACTGCAAGAAGAAAAACAGCACATTTATCCATGGCTCTTGTAGTATATATTATAGAATGAAACAGCCAGAGATAGGATTAAGAGAGATGAGAGGGAGAAGATAAAACCAAGCACAATGAAGTGAGTTCAGCTCTCACCGGGATTTATAATGTCAGGAATCGAGGCCCTTTAAGGATCCTAACCGCTAATTATTCATAAACCTTAATGAGTGGTGTGGCATCAATTGCAATAATGGAGGGTTTGAATTCTAAAACTTTTTTATACAATAATGTGGAAATTAATGTATTTCCTCTCTTGAAGATATCTCTCACTGGTATTGTTCTATGTCCCACCAAATGTATTATAAGTTGACTCTCTTGAAGACAAATATCTTCCATATTTTCCATATCTTTGGGTATTCTTTTCTTTGCCCACTTGTTCTGCTCTTATTGTATCTTTTCTTAACTATAATAAGAACTTCTGCAGAGTGAAACAATGGCAAGCTCAACACTTCTTTTTTAAAAATTTTTCAAGAACAAAGTTAAGTTAGGAGAGATTACTTGATATATATTATATATATAATCCTTGGACCCTATTATATAGTTGGGACACCATGACTCTACTTGAATAACTGAAAGATCTTTTGGCACAAAGGCTTGAAAACTAGTTTTCAGTACAAAAAGAGAATCAAAGTTGGCTCAAAAGGAAAATGTATATGCTGATGGCATAAGACCACCAGGAATTGTCTCTCGTGTACGATGATCACTTTAAAACCTAAATACAAAAATCCATCAGTCATCACCATTTCACATAACAAACCAAAACCCTTAAGTTAAAACAATTTGTTTTGAAGATTAAATTAGAGAGTGTATTTTTGTCGTTAACATTAATTAAATGACGCGAGACATCAAATTAAGTACTAAGTAGGTCAAATTACAGTAATATACTATTGCCTTTAGGCTTTAATTTTCAAATTACTATCTTAACCATTTATCCACCACTATTTCTTAGAGCAAGTGAGGACCAAAACCCAATCCGCAGTTTTATTCTATGCTTTAATTTTTAGGTTTACTATTGTTTTATAATTCTAATGGCATATATATTAGTCTGTACTTTCCTATGATTAGCAAGGCCGACCACATGGGCATGCCTCATTCTTTTATAAAAACTCAACCATATATAAAAACTCAAAAGGATGGCATCACCCTAGCTTGTGGAGGGTAGTTGCTAGTTACCCACTTAGTATACAATATAATATCATTTTTATAGACAAAAACCTTAGTGTAGATTAACCATGTTATGTAATGTGAATTATGTAATGTGAATTAGTTTTTTAAAGTAAATAATATACCAGTGAATATTTGTCTAGTTAAATAAAATGAAATTATTTCTTCACATTTAGCTTTTTTTTCCATCGAAAAGAACTAACCCTACTTGCCATTCTTGATGGAACTCTCTTCCTTTCTCTTTCTTTATGTTATTGTAAAACCCTAGACATTGTAAGAATTTTTCGAGAGCCTGAAAATAAAGAAAGAGAGGTTTAAAAGCATGCGAGGCCCTAAACTCTTGAAGTCAAATGTCGTCCCAAGCATCAAACAAGGAATATTCCATAAGCAATTTAAGCTGCATGTGAACTGATCAGTACAAGGAAGCAATTATAAAATCAAATTTGGTCGGAAGTACATGTCGAATATCCCTTTATACATGTTCATCGAGACAGACCGAAGGCTTCACAACTTAGCTTGCAAAGCTGTCACGGAAATTAATAATCATGCATGGTTCATGCAACTGCATCACCAACCTTTTTTTCCTTCCGCGCATTCTCAACTGCACAATGAGTTGAAGGGTCATTTTATTTTCATAACTACCTTTTCTTTTTGAAATAAATTACTTTTATTGATGTTTTGTTTAATTTTACCATGTTGAAAATTTTTGAACTTAGTTGATATTAGTACGGTGTTATCTCACACTTAATAAATATCTAATTTTTTTATAGTTTTATATTAAGTTTAAACCCCTTCACTTATAATCAATTTGCTTTAAGTTAGATATTTAATATGGTATTAAAGCCAACATTTCTTTTTGTTGTCCTTTTTAAATCTATCATGTAGTAAACTTCTTTCACCTCCACTTACACATAATGAGATCTGTTAGTGTAGTGTTATTCTACATCTAATAAATATTTAATTTTTTATAATCTTATATTCAAGTTGAACCATTTCACTTATTGTCAATTGATTTTAAGTTGAATGCTTAACAATTAAAATGATTAGAAAGTGGTGCTTAACTAATTCGATTGAAATTATAAATGCTTATAGCTTTTTTGTCAAAGATTTCTCATATTTAACTATTACAGTCGATCATTTCATTCAATAAGCAAAAGTTATGATTTAAACTTGAAACCCTCAATTTTAGAGTTCACTCCAATATCGTTGAGCTAACAAGCCATAACTCTGCTTAATTCAATGTAACTTTTTTCATATAGAGGAAGGCCAAACTTAATTAATTGCAAACTTCTTATTAAAAATAGAGATACAAGTACAAGTAGATTAATGATAAAAGAAAATGAAAACAATACCAAATTGCCTACAATACCAACGACAAGCCTACAACAAATACAATATATCTAAGTGGTGATTGGATTAATGGCCGACGCCAGGGCTATTTCTAGGGGTTGTGGGTCAAAAATTGTCTACAGGTTCTTCTAAGAACCTGAAAAGGTGGTGCAAGGGGCTCGAGAAAACTGCATTCTTCACGCAAGTCCTACAATATTAATGTTGATCTCCCTATCAGCACTCAACATTAAATTCACATCCTCTAAATTATTCTTCACTTCCAAGGTCTGTCTCTCGACTAAGAAAAGTACTTCATGGGACAAAACAAGCATTATTAGTAGAAAAAACAAACAATTACATCTAGCATTTACCATAGCAAGAATTAATGATGAAGTCACATAATTGTATTAGAGTTTTAAAGGGCTAATCTTATGAAGTAAACCAGGACGGAGAAAGCTATGGTTGGACCCTATCTTATATCAACGCTATTTATGGAGTATAAAAGGTTAGGCGGATGAAAAAAAAAAAAAACAACAGACACAAAGACAAAAATTAAGAGGGCGAGAATCGAGAAGTGTGCAACATATGGGTTGTAAGGCCCCGAATGCAAGGTATTTTTTAGAAGTGATGTCAAGTATGAAGAGAGAGTCTATTATTGTCAAAACCTAGATCATAAACCTAATACAAATATGTATGTGTAAATGAAAAATTAAAAAAAAAAAGGTTTGGCCGGCAATTTGTTTCTTTGTTTGTCCATAGCCCTTCTCACTAGGTCTTTCAAGTAGGGATGGCGATGAAGTTCGTCTCAAAATCAATATGATTTTATATCTTTAATAATTGAATTTGATTTGATTTAAAATTAATAAAATATTTTTTAATATAAATATTGTAGATACCCAATTTGATCTAGGCCTGGTCCAAATGGGTAGGCCCATTTTTATTTTTTAAATTATTTTATTTTTTTCTAAATTTTTATTATTTATTATTACTATTATTATTTATTAATATACATATATATTTATTTATCTATTAACATATATTACTATATATATATATATTTTATACATATATATTTATTTATCTATTAACATATATTACTATATATATTTTATTACTATTTATCTATTATATTATTTTTATTTTTATTTTTTCTTTTTCTTCTTATTCGACTGGGATTAGGATAAAGATTTAGAGTTCTACCGTGAATTTGAGATTCAATCAGAGTTTAGATTAGATTCAAAGATTGAATCCCAATCCAAGAAGGAAATTGAGATTGATTAGAAACTCTTCTGATAAATTCTTATAAATAGGTGCTGAAATAGAACAAAAAAAAAGGGGACACACAGAGAAAAAATAAAAGCTAAAAAAGGGTTTTGGTGCGTTAGAACAGCTCTAAGAATCAGTGGAAAGTTTTTTTTGAATTTTAGGCAATTTTTTTTTGGAAATTTTTGAAAAATTTTCAGATTTCTGTTGAATTTTCTGGCTAAATTTGAATTTTTTAGTGAATTTTTCAGCACCGGTTGAATTTTTAGGTGAGCTACCCCGTTTTCGGTAACTATTTTTAGAAATCGATAAACTTTTCGATGAACTTTCGGTAAAAAACTTAAATTTCGATGATATTTTTTAGAATTCGACGAGATTCAACCAGAGTTCTTCCTCCGTTTAGAGAGAAGGAAAAGGAAAGAAAGGGAAGAGAGAGAGAGAAAATGAGAGATCTGCTGAAAAACAGAGGTTATAACTTTTTATACTTGTTGAAAACGACGTCATTTTGACGTTATTTTTCTCAAAAGATCCACGGGTTTTGAAATCGGGTGATCCGACCTGAGCGCTAAGCCCTATGTAACCCGAGTACTAGCCGACCCTTCAAGCCGAGCCGACGCTCTCGAGCTACATCTTCGAGCTGCCTTTTCTTTTTCAAGTCAAGCCGAGTCGAGCTATTAAGTCGAATCGTTTTCAAGTTTATTTATTTATTTATTATTATTATTATTATTATTTATTGATTAGATTAGAATTGTTTAATACTTTTAATTTTATTTTATTTTTATTGTTTTTCTTTATTTTTATTTATTTTTATTATTTTTTTAAAATAAAATTCAAAAAAAATATTTTTAAGGAAAAGTTGAAAGTATCAATTTTTCTTAAAAATAAGTTTTCAAAAAAAAAATTTTTTTGAGGAAAAGTTGAAAGTATCAATTTTTTTCGAAATTAAAGTTTCTAAAAAATATTTTGAAAAAAAGTTGAAAGTATCAAGTTTTCTTATACAAAAACAATGAATTTTTGAAGAGAAAAGAGTTTATATCTAAAGCAATCATTTTTTTTCTTTTTCTTTTTTATTTTATTGAATTTTTTTTAATGTTAAATAATCCGACGATGAAGCCTCTGCAAGTGAAATAGTAGTTTTCTTACATACTCTTGAGGTGAAAAAATTTTCTCAATTTTTTACTAAAAGTATTAGAGTTAATTGAAAATAATTTTCAATAATTAATTACTTGATAAATTTTTTAGGCTTATTGAATAACATAAAATTAAGTTGGTATCATATTTCGATGAGCGTTGTGAGGGTGCTATAACCTTCCTCACATGTAACCGAACTCTCGAACCCTATTCTGGTTAGTAGACCTAAACCTATTCTCTTAGGGACCCTTAAACTTAGGTGTTTTTTGAAAGGATAGATTCTTTAGGTGACCAATCACACCGAGATAAAAAAAGATTAGTGACGACTCCTTCAAGTCAATGTCTAACGATGGATCCCCGGATCTAGACGTTATGACAGCTTGGAGACTCCACTAGGGACGTTTGAGAGTTAGGCCAGCAAATAAATTTATGTTATCCAAAAGCCTAATAAAATTGAATTTTTTTGTATATATTTTATTTATTCATTCATGTTTATTTACTTTATTAATTATGTCATTCATATGCATATGCATAACATGAGTTCTATACTCGAGCTCCATCCCTTTAAGAGGGAGTAAAGTACCTATTGTTTTCGTGAAGTTTAATGCCTCCGTAGTGGCTAGCAAAATACTCTCACTCAAATTGAACATTTTTCGCTTGTAGCCTGTAATAGGTGAGGATTAGGGTGCATTACTAGTCTGTGATGGATAATGATGTAAGGAGCAATTTGAGAACCTTTAGACTTTAACCTTAAACCACATATAGTGAACCTTAAGAGTGCCTAACCTATAAATAGAGCCATCATCCTTCCCTTTTAGAATCAACCAAAAGCATAGGGTTCATTCCTCTTATTCTGTGTGATGTTTTAATTTATTTAGTTATTTATTTATTCTTTTTTTTCTGGGCATACTAACATTTTCTCTCATTCTTTTGCATTGGTTCATGCTCATATCATAAAGTTGCATAAAAAACATTTGCTTGAAAGACGGTCTTCAATAAAATTTTTCATGGACTCCACAGAACGACTAGTTTGTTCTTCATCTGTATTAGCACATTGTGAGTCACCCAACGAAGTAAGGGTCCAGTAAAAAAAGATTTAACTGAAGATGAGGGATTGCTTACCAATCGGATATGATTTTACCTTATCTTAAGAAACATCCATCCTCCTTAAACAAAATAATCTAGAGGATTTGGTTGATATATGGAAGAAGATGAGTCCGTCAAGACAAGAGCAGTTTTGCTAAAGACACGAGCATATAGCACACCTTCTTGCAGTAGTTGTCGACGATCAACTAATCAAAGCTGCAGCGTAATTCTGAGATCCTGCATACAAGTGTTTCATCTTCAATGAAGTTGATATGACACCAACCATCGAAGAATATTTGATTTTATTGGGTTTGCACCTCAAGGCTCCTAATAAGATATATGTCAAAAAACACAAGTCAGGATTTCGTAAGGGTTTGGCTCAACTCATGGGGATAGACAAAAAAGTTGTAGATTCTCATACAAAAAAGAAACAAGAATAAGTTTGCCTACTGTGAAAGTTCTTTCATGAGTTTCTAGTGCAACATGCCAACAAAGAATGGGGGTTAGATATATTTGTCTTAGTCATATATGGAATGGTGATATTTTCAACGGTTTTGGGTTACATTGAAATAGCGGTGGTTGACTTCTTTGAGAGCATGATCAACGGTAATATTAGCAGAAACTATCATATCTTTGAGTTACTGTCGTCGGAATAGAGGACGCTTTATAAGTTGTATACAGTTATTGTATTTATGGGTGAAAAGCCATTTCGAATGGGGAAAATGTACTTTCTCGAAGCTTTATGACCGTAATCGAGCTCCGATCAAGGAATTCTGTAAAAGTGGGTGGTCAGAACGAAAGTCTAAAAAAGAATGGATAACTTTTCTACAAAATTGATCAGTGCTGAAGTAAGATGGTTGGCCCCATGAATGAATCGTGAGCCTATGTTGTATCAATGTGGGGATAATACAATGGTCCGACTTTTAGGTTTATGGGGAGCGACAAATTATGCACCACTCCTAGTGAGAAGACAGTTTAAGGCAGAACAGTTCATTCCTATGATGCATGGGCTTCATCAGTTAGATTTCTCTTACAGTGAGCCAAAAGCATTTCAGAGGATGAATGAGATGATTAAAGCATGAAAAAATCCCCGAAGAGTGAATCATGGATCGTTTACTGATAAAGTCACTCTAGGGTATTTGCTTTTGCTTTGGAGAGCAAAACGAAAACAAGAAATAATATTCACTTGTGAAAGCTTTCAACCGCCAACAAGAGAAAAGCTTGAAGAGACACCATCAGAATTAGAGCTTGCGACAAAAGAATTTGAGTCTGAATGTTATTTTTATTTTTATTCTTTTTATGGGTGCAATTTGCTTAAAGAAATGTGTGTTAAGATTACTTAATTGCGATTGACAACGTTGTTATTCTAGTTTGGATACCAATGGATAATTAACCGTAACTTTTAATATAAGATAGGTAAAAGTGAGGGTGGAATAGAATTTGATTATAAGTAGATCACTTCCTTCATTCATTTATTCTCTAAAGGATATGAATATGACAAGAGAATTTGGAGGAATCTTGTATTTTAACCGTTTATTTGCAAAGATTCCTCCAACTTTGAGCAAAGAAATCAGTGATAAACGTTATCGTCCTTAACCCCTTTCGGCCAAGGCCAAGGCCAGGGCCAGGGCCTAAACGTGTCAGATGTCCCAAATTAGGCCGAAAGGGGTTAAGGACGATAACATTTATTACTGATTTGTTTGCTCAAAGTTGGAGTAATCTTTGCAAATAAACGGTTAGAATACAAGATTCCATGGGAATCTTCTCTTTGCGATTGCTTCCTTCCATGTATTAAAGATAAATCTACTTTTCGAAACCAGTTCCTGTGTTACGCATGTGCTCGAATTAACCATCGTTGGGGCCTCCGAGCTCCTGGTTTAAGTCGCTTACAGGTAAAAGTTAATATAGGCTTTGGACTGGACATATTGGTTAACAAGAAAAAACAGAGCCCTCACCAATTTGCTGACTGTAATCTGTTATATCAACACAAATGAAAAATTTACTGATGTCCTATATTAATTAAAAGTGTAACCTTTTAGTGTAGTGTAAAATTTATTAGTAGCTAGTTCAAGTTTTTGTATGGTATCTGCGATCTATCATATGTTGTCTAAACTTTTAGTGTAAATTCATCTTGTTAAGCAAGGATTGGAAAAGTTTTTAAACCAATTTGAGTATAAATAGTTAATTTACTTTTCGTAATAATATTTTGTATTAAATACAGTAATTCACAAGACAATTTACTTTAATATATCGAGAGAAAATATTATACTTAGCATGATATTTTTAAAAAATGCTCTAAAAGACACTCATTAACATCGAATCACCTTGGTTAAAATCAACGAAACCCAACTCAGGAAATACCAATATTAATTAATACCCGTATTCTTGAAGTTAATAAAGTTCATTTACTTTAACCAACTAATTGTGTCTCAATTAATGAATTTGTGACTTACCAAAAAAAAAGTCCTATAAAGAAATTGGAACAATGAGATTTGAATATCAAGTACTAAGGTTTGCTTTATAACTTTTTTTTTTTTTGCCCGGAGGGGTGGGGAGGGGTGGTGGTGGTTAGCGGTTAGGCATACTTTGCAACTTTTAGTGGAGGAAGAGAGAAATTTCAGTTGAATGAAGTACGATATATAAGCTCTGCAAGTAATTAAGATTAAAATGGTGGCTTCACGCACCACATGGACGCTGTCTTTTTTTTTTTTCAAATATCAGAAACAATTTATTAAGAAGATGGAAAGAAGGCATTGCAAAGAGTAATGCAATGTACATGACATAGCGACATGCACATGGATAAAATAACTAGTTAGATTGCGGGACAATTATTTTTTTACAGTTACATCCCAATCTGTGTCTTTAGACCTAGGAATCATGCAAGTCCTACGTGAATATTGTAAATCCAAAACAGTAACAGATCCTTTGATCTGATACAATTATTACAATTTGAAATAGACCTAAGTCAATGTACCTCTGGAGGCATTTATTACATATCTAGGCATTTGGCTCTGAATTTTTGCCTGGAAAAGCATGACCAGCTCCAGGGCTGGGTCCTGGGTTGGTAGGTCGGAAATCTTCTTTAACTTCTGCAATAGAATGCTTATCATTGCTTGGGCTAATGCTTCCTGATTTTTGTTCAGTATTTTCATCATCTTCTGCAAAAGAATTTTCAGTATTTTCATCATCTTCTGCTAAAGAATGTCCAGCACCAGGGCTGTGTCCTGGGCTGCTAGGTCGGGAATCTTCCTTAGCTCCTGCAATAGAATGCTTATTATTGCTTGGGCTAATGCGTCCAGATTTTTGTTCAGTATCTTCATGATCTTCTGCAAAAGAATGTCCAACACCACCAGGGCTGCTCCCTGCTTTAGCGGGTAGGAAATCTTCGCTGTACCCTGCAAGTGAATCACCAAAATCTGAGCTTTTAGTTGGTGTAGGGGGTGACAATACTTCTTTCTTTCCTGATGCTGAAGCTGAATGGTGGGCATCTGCATTAGGAATGTAACTTGGGGCTGCAGGTTGATGATCTTCTTTGTGCACCGCAGAGTTGTCAACCTGGTTGCTCTGCTTTGAACCAAGTTTGCTCACTGATTTTATTTTTCTTCCCTCAACTGAGAAAACTAGATGGCTGCAGGCAATCACTGCAAGAAGAAAAACAGCACATTTATCCATGGCTCTTGCAGTATATATTATAGAATGAAACAGCCAGAGATAGGATTAAGAGAGATGAGAGGGAGAAGATAAAACCAAGCACAATGAAGCGAGTTCAGCTCTCACGGGGATTTATAATGTCAGGAATCAAGGCCCTTTAAGGATCCTAACCGCTAATTATTCATAAACCTTAGTAAGTGGTGTGGCATCAATTGCAATAATGGAGGGTTTGAGTTCTAAAAACTTTTTTATACAATAATGTGGAAATTAATGTATATCCTCTCTTGAAGATATCTCTCACTAGTATTGTTCTATGTCCCATCAAATGTATTATAATTTGACTCCCTTGAAGACAAATATCTACCATATTTTGCATGTCTCTGGAATTCTTCTCTTTGCCCCAGTTGTTCTGCTCTTATTGTATCTTTTCTTAACTATTATAAGAACTTCTGCAGAGTGAAACAATGCCATGCTCAACACTTCTTTTTTAAAAATTTTTCGAGGACAAAGCCGTCTATTGCAGCTTGAAACTCGATCCTTGACCTTTCATAATGCCGAAATGTTACTCTGTCGTTTGAATTAATGTATGATGACAGCAACCTGTTTAATCAAAATTTTAGTGACAGATATAAAATATTAGAAGCTAACCGTGTTTGTTTATATCCCATATTCCCTAGTGATAGCAATATATTTTAGGAAATGGGCTTCCCCACCACCGAAATGCACCCCTTGCAAAAATGCGTAAATAGTATTATTATATGCTGATGGCTGCTGTGCAAGCTTTAGAACTCTTTTGGTCGACAAATTCAAGTGAAACACCTCTGTCCTATACCTCTTTGGTTGAACCTCCATTGTTAATGGCAATTGAAAAGTTTCGACTATAAATGGGTGGAATCATTGCTTGGCAGCTGAATGTTAAAGCTTCCCTGCTGGAAACTATAAATAATTAACAAGACCTTCAACTTCTTTTAATGAAGTTAATTTCTTGTGTTCAATTAACTGGCATTATCGATAGGGTATCTGATAAGAATGACAACTTTAATGGAACCAAATATCATCTCCTACTTGTGCAAGTGTTCAAAATAAATTTCTCAATGTTTTCCTTTACCAGTCTTACCATCCAATTACTAGCTATAATTACATATGAGATCCTATTGCAAAACGAAAGCATAAGAGACTTCAGAAACCTTGAGAAAACCAATTGAATGGAATAAGAGGACAGCATATCACTCCAACTTAAACCTTTTTTTTATGCCTAAACTTTCACTTTCCAACCAATATTCCTCAACTTGAGGATCTTCTTCAACCTATATGCAAGAATTTGAAGTCATTGTTGTTTAATTTTGCAGAAAAATAGAATGTTCACACTCTTTATTATATGAAGGGATAGTAAATGCTTGTGTAAACAACATAAGCACTTTGTCATTGGTGTGATCGATTGTTTGTCTTACGGCTATTAGCATGCTTGCAAAAAAATTATTTTGGGTGAATATCGACATGCTCATAATTAATCAAAAAGTCAAGGGCACCAACCAAAAAGAGAGGTCCCTCCACTTGCATTTCATCACTAAAGAAATCTTGCATTTGTCTTGGTCCATCAAGTCAAAGAAAGCAAATGATGAGCTCGAATTCGCCGTCCCTCACCCCCCCCCCCCCCCCCCCTCCCTTTCAAGCGTTCCACTTATAGTGGAATGAAGAATCTTGCGAAAAGGACTTTTTTTGTGGTTGGTTACTGCACCTGAGGAAGTCCACAGCCTATGGCGGTATCGAACTTTTGAGCACTGTTTTACATATTCTGCTCTTCTAATTGAATATACAGCCTTGCTTGTTTAAAATGTTTCAAAATTGTTTTCTTTATGATGAATTTTGTTTTTTTATTTTAAACACAAGGAATTTTTATTTTTCACATTTGGATTGATTTTTATGAATTTTTTTAATAACACAATCACATTAAAAAATGCGATTAAAGATTTATGAAAGATTTTAAAATTTTCGTATATAAAAGAGTTTAAAATTTTAACTGCAAACTTAAACAAATTACAAAATAGATGATAAATTATTTACTCAGTTAATGAAATTTTACATTTCTAAGGATAATGTGTTGGGTCCCACTTTTCCACTTCAGTCGCGAAAATAACGTTCATATCTTTATGCAGACGTGCATGTGATGCGGCTGCTCGACAACGAATGAAAGATTCATAACTGAATTTCGTCAGTTTGGACGACATTAATGAAAATTTTAAAAGATATTTTTTATTTAAATATATTTAATATTAAAATTAAATTTTTTTTATAAAATTAAAGTTTTATGATTTTTAATGTCAAAATCTAAAAAAAAAAATGATAAAAAATAATTTTAAAACATAAAAACGTAAGAATTTTAAATATTCAAAAAATAAAAGAATATAATTTTGAGATATAAAAAAAGTAGATAAAAAAATGGAAAATATCTTTTTCAACTATTTTTTCTGTGGGCCTGTGTCTTTGATTGAGTACCGAGAATTTTCAAATACGTAAAGTCTGTTAGGCCCAAGAGTACCCCAGCTAGAAAAAATGGAAAACATATGAAAACTAGCTTAAACTGATATGACCCTCTGGTGACGAAGCCCAAATATAAACCACAATTGTGCCCTTGGACTGCAAAGCCCAATTAAAATGTATGTCACCCCATTTCTCGTAGATTCCAATTTTGGGGGGTGAACATAAAATTTAGAAGTCTTGGTCGTCCACTCCTTTTGGAGTCCAGTTCAAATGAAAAAGGATAAATAAATAAATATAAAAATAAAAAGGTATAGAGTTCCCAAGTTTACATCATAAATGAAAAACTACATTATTATTTATCATAACTTTTTTTTTATAAATGAGTTCATAATTTGAAAATAAAAAAATATTATAAGTACTAAAATTTAAATTTTAAATTTTTTGAAAGTCACTTTTAAGAATAAACACATGATTGTATAAATTAACTGATCAAATTTTATTATTATCATAATTATTAGTAATTCTTTATATACATGAAAAAGTAGATGGGAGAGTAGAAACTATTTGAATCGTGGACCTGAACTTTCTTCAAACAAATTAAATAATTTTTAAAGATTGTCTATAATATAGAGATTCGAATTAAAGTTAAGTTAAGAGAGATTACTTGATATATATTATATATATAATCCTTGGACACTATTATATAGTTGGGACACCATGACTCGACTTGAATAACTGAAAGATCTTTTGGCACAAAGGCTTGAAAACTAGTTTTCAGTACAAAAAGAGAATCAAAGTTGGCTCAAAAGGAAAATGTATATGCTGATGGCATAAGACCACCAGGAATTGTCTCTCGTGTATGATGATCATTTTAAAACCTAAATACAAAAATCCATCAGTCATCACCATTTCACATAACAAACCAAAACGCTTAAGTTAAAACAATTTGTTTTGAAGATTAAATTAGAGAGTGTATTTTTGTCGTTAACACTAATTAAATGACGCGAGACATCAAATGAAGTACTAAGTAGGTCAAATTACAGTAATATATTATTGCCTTTAGGCTTTAATCTTCAAATTCCTATCTTAACCATTTATCCACCACTATTTCTTAGAGCAAGTGAGGACCAAAACCCAATCCACAGTTTTATTTATTTTCTATTCTATGCTTTAATTTTTAGGTTTACTATTGTTTTATAATTCTAATGGCATATATATTAGTCTGTACTTTCCTATGATTAGCAAGGCCAACCACATGGGCATGCCTCATTCTTTTATAAAAACTCAACCATATATAAAAACTCAAAAGGATGGTATCACCCTAGCTTGTGGAGGGTAGTTGCTAGTTACCCACTTAGTATACAATACAATATCATTTTTATAGACAAAAACCTTAGTGTAGATTAACCATGTTATGTAATGTGAATTAATTTTTTAAAGTAAATAATATACCAGTGAATATTTGTCTAGTTAAATAAAATGAAATTATTTCTTCACATTTAGCTTTTTTTTCCATCGAAAAGGACTAACCCTACTTGCCATTCTTGATGGAACTCTCTTCCTTTCTCTTTCTTTATGTTATTGTAAAACCCTAGACATTGTAAGAATTTTTCGAGAGCCTGAAAATAAAGAAAGAGAGGTTTAAAAGCATGCGAGGCCCTAAACCCTTGAAGTCAAATGTCGTCCCAAGCATCAAACAAGGAATATTCCATAAGCAATTTAAGCTGCATGTGAACTGATCAGTACAAGGAAGCAATTATAAAATCAAATTTGGTCGGAAGTACATGTCGAATATCCCTTTATACATGTTCATCGAGACAGACCGAAGGTTTCACAACTTAGCTTGCAAAGCTGTCACGAAATTAATAATCATGCATGGTTCATGCAACTGCATCACCAACTTTTTTTTCCTTCCGCGCCTTCTCAACTGGACAATGAGTTGAAGGGTCATTTTATTTTCATAACTAACTTTTCTTTTTGAAATAAATTACTTTTATTGATGTTTAGATTAATTTTACCATGTTAAAATTTTTTGAACTTAATTGATATTAGTACGGTATTATCCCACACCTAATAAATATCTAATTTTTTTATAGTTTTATATTAAGTTTGAACCCCTTCACTTATAATCAATTTGCTTTAAGTTAGATATTTAACATGATATTAAAGTCAACATTTCCTTTTGTTGTCCTTTTTAAATTTATCACGTAGTAAACTTCTTTCACATCCGCTTACACATAATGGGATCTGTTAGTGTAGTGTTATTCTACATCTAATAAATATCTAATTTTTTGTAATCTTATATTCAAATTGAACCATTTTACTTATTGTTAATTGATTTTAAGTTGAATGCTTAACAATTAAAATGATTAGAAAGTGGTGCTTAACTAATTTGATTGAAATTATAAATGCTTATAGCTTTTTTGTCAAAGATTTCTCATCTTTAACTATTACAGCCGATCATTTCATTCAATAAGCAAAAGTTATGATTTAAACTTGAAACCTTCAATTTTAGATTCACTCCAATACCATTGAGCTAA